TCTCTGGTGGTCTCTCTGATGGTCTCTCTGGTGGTCTCTCTGATGGTCTCTCTGGTGGTCTCTCTGGTGGTCTCTCTGATGGTCTCTCTGATGGTCTCTCTGATGGTCTCTCTGGTGGTCTCTCTGATGGTCTCTCTGATGGTCTCTCTGATGGTCTCTCTGGTGGTCTCTCTGATGGTCTCTCTGATGGTCTCTCTGATGGTCTCTCTGGTGGTCTCTCTGATGGTCTCTCTGATGGTCTCTCTGATGGTCTCTCTGGTGGTCTCTCTGATGGTCTCTCTGATGGTCTCTCTGGAGCAGACAGTTTAATAACATTAATAACATGAATAATGATCTTGGTGACTGTGATGTTACTGCTCAGAATGTGCAGGGGAGAACATGAATCAGGCAGCTAATGTTAGCAACGTTTTTAAATCCGACAGCTCGTGCTAACCACAGACCTTATTTCAGGATAAAAAACACATCCAGAGAACCATTGACCTCCAGACCAGGGACAGGAAGTGAAGAAATGCTGAGTCAGGGTTCAGATCTCATAATGCTGAGTGTGTGTATAAGGTGGGGATGGGTGTGTGTTTGTATAACGTGTGTGTGTGTGTGTGTGTGTGTGTGTGTGTGTGTGTGTGTGGGATCCTGGTCCAGACTATATACAGGAAACCCTGTATTTAAGACCTGATCCTGGTCCAGACCCTATACAGGAAACCCTGTATCTAATGGCGCATTTCCACTACACGGCCTCGCTCGGTATGGCTAGGCCTCGTTAGGACAGGCTCACTTCATGCTGCATTTCCATTACAGTTTAGGAACTGGGGTAGTATCTATAGTAACGCAGTGTAGGCGGAGCCGTGACGTCATCTTCAATGAGAACCCCAGAAAAACAACACAGCCGTTAGCTGTTAGCACTCAGAGCTCACAGCTCCTTATATCTGTTCAGAAACTAGACAAAAGTTAAACAAGTACAAACCACAGACTGCCTGTGTCATGGTGAATACAGTCGCTGCTTTATTTATGTCTGTATAGGCCGTTGTTGTGAGTGTGGACGGTCGGGGCATATACTGCGTTAGCTTAGCCAATCTCCATTCAGAAAACAAGCATTTTAAAAGGTGTTTCGCCTGCCGTCTGTCTGCAGACTTGACAAAGCATTAATTCATGGTTTTTACTAACCGGTATCAGTATGTTGTTACTTCATCATTTAGAAACGTGTATTACAATTAAATCACGGTCAAATATGTCCATCTTGTTGTAGTTGTAGCCCCCTTGCCAGCGATTCTCTCTCTAGTTTAGCATACTCAGCCCGACTCAGCCTCGTTGTCTCTGGCCCTAGACCCACGATTTTATGAGGCCAGAAAAACTTTCGAGGGCTACAAGAAACGAGGTGAGTAGCCTACAAGATTGGTGAGTAGCCTACAAGCTGGTCAGATAACGAACGAGTAAATGAAAACAGAATGAGGCGGAGAAGAGTGTGTGTGTGTGTGTGTGTGTGTGTGTGTGTGTGTGTGTGTGTGTGAGAGAGAGTGATTAAAATAGCCCATATATAAATACATAAATAACACTTTGTGATAGGGCTGTGCGATTATGGCAAAAATCATAATCACGATTATTTGGGTCAATAATTGATATCACGATTATTAAATACGATTATTCATTGACTTTGAAAAAATCTATTTATTGAACTTTAAAACAAATACAAATAATAATTTGAACAGTATCTTTTTAACTGTTGATTACCCTGAACGTATAATTCAACTGAAAAACCAATACAAAAATAAATGATACATTTATATTTACATTTAAATAAATAATATCAAAATAATAAATACCAATAAACAAGATCAACAAATATTTTGGAGCGCACTTCCACAAGCTACTAAACATGTAAATATGATAAATACAAATAAATGTGACTAAAATTAATTAGATCAAATATGTTGCACTGTCACAACCAAGCAAAGCTAAATAATTGTTTTTTCCGATTATGTTGTTTTCGTAATTGTGGCAGGCCAAAATCGTAATTGCGATTAAAATACGATTAATTGCACAGCCCTACTTTGTGATGTAGCTTGCTTCTAGTATGCTTGTTTATCATAGGAACTCTTTAAAAGGGCTCACTTTCATTCAGTAGTAGCCTAGTAACAGGGTGTGGGAGAAGAATCACCTTTTTTCCGCTTCCCGCATATTTCGCAACTTTTCGCATATTTAGCATATTTCCGCATATTTCGCAACTTCACCGCATAAAATCACATAAAACCCCCGCATGTTTAATCGCATAATCAAGGATTTTAGCCCGCGTTTTTCTGGAGGGTCTAATAAAGGAAACCCTGTATTTAAGACCTGATCCTGGGTCAGACCCTATAAAGGAAACCCTGTATTTAAGACCTGATCCTGGGTCAGACCCTATAAAGGAAACCCTGTATTTAAGACCTGATCCTGGGTCAGACCCTATAAAGGAAACCCTGTATCTAAGACCTGATCCTGGGTCAGACCCTATAAAGGAAACCCTGTATCTAAGACCTGATCCTGGGTCAGACCCTATAAAGGAAACCCTGTATCTAAGACCTGATCCTGGGTCAGACCCTATAAAGGAAACCCTGTATCTAAGACCTGATCCTGGGTCAAACCCTATACAGGAAACCCTGTATCTAAGACCTGATCCTGGGTCAAACCCTATACAGGAAACCCTGTATCTAAGACCTGATCCTGGTCCAGACTCTATAAAGAGTTCATTCACTCAAACAAATGGAAAATAATCTACATACATATTTAGGATTGTAATGAAGGAATGAACATGGACGCGGGAAGGGGGGGTGCTGAGGGGGCTGCAGCACCCCCATCTGCGAGGCTCGACTAGTACCCGCACCCCCAAACGCGGCGCACCTACAGTGTAAGCGTGCCACAGTGTAAGCGTGCCACAGTTTCGCCGCTGCGAGGCTCCACTAGCAATGTGCTGTCCCACAATGCCTTGCGGCCGCAGCATTTGCCGTCACACAACAGTCGGCCGTTCACAGAAACAACCGATTATGACCGAGAAATTATATCATGAAAGTTACGGTGCTTACAGTGTTTCCCCTATATACAAATATGCGCGCCGCTGCTAGGGGGCGCCAGCCAGGTATTTTTTTAATTAAAATAATAATAAGTGGCGACCCTTTTTCATTTTTGATTGTTTGTTATGTGGATTTGTAGTATTTGTGTTACTGTATGTTCAATAAAGGTGCTGTAAGTGATGAAAGTGGGGGATGTTGGCTTATCAGGCGCCCGCAGCTCACAGCCAAAGTGCGAGCGAGGGAGAGAGAGAGAGAGAGAGCGAGCGAGCGAGAGAGAGAGAGAGAGAGAGGGAGAGAGAGAGAGAGAGAGAGAGAGAGAGAGAGAGAGAGAGAGAGAGAGAGAGGGAGAGAGAGAGAGAGGGCGCACCGGTTCCGGCACTGTTGTTATTAGCATCTGGTGCTAGCTGCGCTAACGGATATAAGAAGTAGATGTTTCTACAGCCAGGGTGGAGGAGAGCTCTCCTGTCAGACTGAGGCTCAGTGAGGTAAAGGACTCTCTGAGGGTTCAGATAGTTCACTTTAGTCTCAGTTATCTCAGTGAGGTAAAGGACTCTCTGAGGGTTCAGATAGTTCACTTTAGTCTCAGTTATCTCAGTGAGGTAAAGGACTCTCTGAGGGTTCAGATAGTTCACTTTAGTCTCAGTTATCTCAGTGAGGTAAAGGACTCTCTGAGGGTTCAGATAGTTCACTTTAGTCTCAGTTATCTCAGTGAGGTAAAGGACTCTCTGAGGGTTTAGATAGTTCACTTTAGTCTCAGTTATCTCAGTGAGGTAAAGGACTCTCTGAGGGTTAGATAGTTCACTTTAGTCTCAGTTATCTCAGTGAGGTAAAGGACTCTCTGAGGGTTTAGATAGTTCACTTTAGTCTCAGTTATCTCAGTGAGGTAAAGGACTCTCTGAGGGTTCAGATAGTTCACTTTAGTCTCAGTTATCTCAGTGAGGTAAAGGACTCTCTGAGGGTTCAGATAGTTCACTTTAGTCTCAGTTATCTCAGTGAGGTAAAGGACTCTCTGAGGGTTTAGATAGTTCACTTTAGTCTCAGTTATCTCAGTGAGGTAAAGGACTCTCTGAGGGTTCAGATAGTTCACTTTAGTCTCAGTTATCTCAGTGAGGTAAAGGACTCTCTGAGGGTTTAGATAGTTCACTTTAGTCTCAGTTATCTCAGTGAGGTAAAGGACTCTCTGAGGGTTAGATAGTTCACTTTAGTCTCAGTTATCTCAGTGAGGTAAAGGACTCTCTGAGGGTTTAGATAGTTCACTTTAGTCTCAGTTATCTCAGTGAGGTAAAGGACTCTCTGAGGGTTCAGATAGTTCACTTTAGTCTCAGTTATCTCAGTGAGGTAAAGGACTCTCTGAGGGTTCAGATAGTTCACTTTAGTCTCAGTTATCTCAGTGAGGTAAAGGACTCTCTGAGGGTTCAGATAGTTCACTTTAGTCTCAGTTATCTCAGTGAGGTAAAGGACTATCTGAGGGTTCAGATAGTTCACTTTATTCTCAGTTATCTCAGTGAGGTAAAGGACTCTCTGAGGGTTCAGATAGTTCACTTTAGTCTCAGTTATCTCAGTGAGGTAAAGGACTCTCTGAGGGTTCAGGTAGTTCACTTTAGTCTCAGTTATCTCAGTGAGGTAAAGGACTCTCTGAGGGTTCAGATAGTTCACTTTAGTCTCAGTTATCTCAGTGAGGTAAAGGACTCTCTGAGGGTTCAGATAGTTCACTTTAGTCTCAGTTATCTCAGTGAGGTAAAGGACTCTCTGAGGGTTTAGATAGTTCACTTTAGTCTAAGTTATCTCAGTGAGGTAAAGGACTCTCTGAGGGTTCAGATAGTTCACTTTAGTCTCAGTTATCTCAGTGAGGTAAAGGACTCTCTGAGGGTTCAGATAGTTCACTTTAGTCTCAGTTATCTCAGTGAGGTAAAGGACTCTCTGAGGGTTCAGATAGTTCACTTTAGTCTCAGTTATCTC